TTCACAGGACAGTTTAATTAGTTCTTCAGACTAGGGAATTTTGATGACTGAGATTCATTTCAATTAAACAAGTAAACTGAAATGCAAATAATTTTCATCGATTGTATACTATTGTGTACATTGTGTACTATGTGCAGAGCACTACAAGGGGGGATAGAAAAGATACCCTATGGTTAGAGTAGGTAGCTAGACAGACATGAGCAGGGGAGGTGGGGAAAGGAAATTCAGGTGGTGCCCCTGGGCCGTGTCCCATGGCAGTTACACTGCTGGGGACTGCCTTCCTTTGGTCAAACAGCTCCCTGTCAATCTGGAGAAAATGGATTAGTCAGAGTCTCAGGGACTGGAGCATGCTCAGAAGCACAGAGATGCTGTCCTTGGGTGATCCAGGGTTCATTGTAATATCACTATATCATGGTTCCCCTCCCTGAGACCCGACACCCCCCACACACACACTGGGTTTCACTACAAAAGCCCATAAGACGGCCCCCTTTCTCTTGGGCAGGTCAACTCCACATTCGCATGCTTCTCTCCTTGATGTTCTGCCTCACCACAACAAGCCCAGAATCAATGATGTCCAAGTGACCGTGGACTGAAACCACGAGTCAAAATAAATCTTTCATCCTTTAAGTTTATTTCCTCAGCTATTTTGTCACAGTGATGGAAAGCTAACTAACACATGTATCATTGTTGGCGTTCCAATTGTGACAAATGAGCCACACTAACATAAAATGTCAATTATCAGGGTAATAATGAGCAGGCGGGAGAGTAGGTATATGAGAACTTTCTCTACTATTTACTCAATCATCTCTGAACTTAAACTGATCTAAGAGAAGTCTACTCATGTTTTTTAAAAGCAAAAGAAATTGAAGAGTAAGCAATGAGGTTAGTTGTCAAACTGGTCAATGAAAAAGTTAATGCAACATTTAATGAGAACCTGGAGCTGGGTATATTGGAATATGATGATAATCTTAGCTAAGGAGGCTTAGGCAGGATGATTGCTTCAGCCCAGGAGTTCAAGGCCAGCCTAGACAGTGTACCAAAAATGTCCCCCCAGCCACAGAAAGAAAGAAGGAAAGAGAAAAGAAAAGAGAGAAACTTGAGTTCAGAAAGAATCTAATTAAATTGTTTACTGATCCATCTTTGGCTAGCATTGTCTATAGACTATATCAGAAGAAGCTATGGTCTCCATGAAATTAGGAGTGACAACTGAAATAAAGCCTCCACTGATGTAACCCATGGGCATGTACTGGCTAAGAAAATACTTCTATTTGACATTACATACATACCACTAAGACCAGTGACACTTTCAGGTCTTGTTTTACTTCTACAAAACTTATTCTGTCTGAACTTTGAAGTCTCATCAGGATTTTGTCCAACTGGTAGAGGTAGACTAGAATAACCATAGAGAAATAAAGGTAGAGGGGCTGGGATATAGCTCTCACAGGCACAAGACCCTTGGTTCAATCCTCAGCACCACAAAAAAAAAAAAAAAAAAAAAAAAAAAAGAGAGAGAGAGAGAAATAAAGGTAGAAATAACTGTCTATGCCAATCCAAACTATACTGGCCAGAGTTTTTACAAAATAGACAGGCTGCCCTATATTGTGTTCTTTATGCATCTTGCTCTTTTCATTGTACACATCTGTGTGAGACACCTCCTTGCTTCATATAATTCTCAAGTAATGCTCAGATCCTTTCAAGTTGGCCTTTCTAAGGCTAGCAGGAGGAGACCAGGGAGGCAAACCCAGGGTTTTTTGTCCAGATTTTTTATTTTGAATTTATATTACAGATTTGGTATTCATGTATCTATGATAAGTAATTAAAACACGATAAGATACTTGTTATAAATTATGGTTTTAGTCCTAAAAGAGGGTGTGAGCCAGCTTTCCATTACAGTAAAAAAAATACATGAGACAAATCAACTTTAGAAGTGAAAAGGTTTGTTTGGGTTCATAGTTTAAAGGGGTTTCACTCCCTAGTAGTTGGCCCAGATACTGTGGGACCTGTGGTGAGAAGCAGCACATCATAGCATAACTGTGAGTTGGAAGCAGCTGCTCACCTCATGGTAGGTGGGAAGCTAAAGAAAGAGGGGCGGGGCAGAGTTGTGGCTCAGTGGTAGAGTGCTTGCCGGGCATGCATGAGGCACTGGATTTGATCCCGGCACCACATAAAAAATAAAATAAACAAAATAAAGGTATTTAAAAAAAGAAGTGTCGGGTTGGGGTTGTGGCTCAGTGGTAGAGCGCTTGCCTAGCATGCGTGAGGCACTAGGTTTGATCCTCAGCACCACATAAAAATAAAATAAAGGTACTGTATCCACCTCCAACTAAATGTTAAAAAAAAAAGTTTAAAAAAGTGTCTTGTTTAAAAAAAGAAGAAAGAAAGAGGGAGGAGGGGGTCTCAATATCCTCTTCAAAGGTATACCCCCAAAGACCTAGCTTCCTCCAACCATACCTATCTCTTCTAAAGATTCTACTATAGGCTGGAGACCAAGTCTTTGACACAGAAGCCTTTGAGGGACATTTCAGATCCAAACTATGACAAATGAGTTACAGAAAGAGGATAAGTTTGTTTCAAAACTTCCCTTTCATCAAAAGCCTACCAACCAAGAAAAGCCTGGGACCAGACGGATTCTCAGCCAAATTCTACAAGACCTTCAGAGAAGAATGAATACCAATACTCCTCAAATTATTCCATGAAATAGGAAAGGAGGGAACCCTTCCAAACTCATTCTATAAATCTAGTTTCACCCTAATGCCAAAACAAGACAAAGACAAGGAAAGAAAACTTCAAATTCCCTGATGAACATAGACCAAATAATATACTAAACAGTGTATGAGCTTGCCATCACTGTTACAAAACACCTGAGAAAATCAGCTTAAAAGGATGAAATGTTTATTTTGACTCACAGTTTCAGAGGTTTCAGTTCATGGCCACTTGACCAGGTTGCTTACCTTTCTGTGGCCATACAGTACATAAAGGTGGGAGCAGGAGGAGGAGGTGAGGAGGGAAGCTTCTTATTATGTAGCAACCCTAGCAGCCCACAAGCAAAAGGTCAGGGTCCTAATAGCTCCTTCAAGGGCATGCCAGTTTTTGGACAGCGACTATGGTAACTTCCTTCCACTAGGCCACACCACCTCCTAATAGTGTCACAGGCAGGGAACCAAGCCTTCAACATAGGGGCTTTTGGGGGTTCTCCAGATCCAAATTATCCCACACAGTAAGCTAGTACTAGGGACAGAATTCAAACCTTGTTGGTACCACAGTCCATATTCATGAAGGCCAGGCTGCATGCCTCTTTGCTAGAGACTTGGCCAGTGTCTTCCAGAACACACACACACACACTCTCTCTCTCTCTCTTTTGAGAGAGAGAGAGAGAGAGAGAGAGAGAGAGAGAGAGAATTTTAATATTTATTTTTCAGTTTTCGGCGGACACAACATCTTTGTTTGTATGTGGTGCTGAGGATCAAACCTGGGCCGCACGCATGCCAGGCGAGCGCGCTACTGCTTGAGCCACACCCCCAGCCCCCAGAACTCTCTTTACAATGTACACACAGTGGTCTTTTTTATACTTGGATCAACTATATTTGGCACGCATGAATGACCCCATATTCCAATAACTGGGGAAAATTCTATAATATAATGGGACACTTCTGGTGGAAACTGGATCCCTGTCTCACAGTTCTCATTTGTCCTACAACTCTTCCCAACCAATGTCAACTCTTCATTTCTGTAATTTTCCCTGCATTTCTTACCTAATATTGTTGTCCAGTAAACAGTCAAGATTGATTGGAGCATAATTTCATATCTTACTTTTCAATTATTGGTCCCAAATCTATGTGGCAAAAATGCAAGGTGGGGCTTTGCCCACAACCAAGGGCCCTGCAGCACCACGGGAAGGCCAATTTCGGATAAGAACCCTTCTTGGAAAAAGAAAAAATAATAATAAAAAAATAAGGTGGCATGTGTCAAAAGTCTGTGTTGTGTGGCTTCTAGAGCGACACCAGCAGGGTGGGGCACTCGCTGGAAGGTGGTGTCCTGCGTCTTTGTGAAATCAATGTCCAGCCTCCACCGCCAGACTCTGAAGCTCAGTTGCACACACATGGGGACATTCCCTGCTTGTGGGCGAGTGTCCTAGAAAAGAGTTATGTGAGTGGGTCGTTCAACTTTTGGGGAAAATGAAGAACCAGTTTTCCTATCTTGTCCCTAGTTCTCCAATTATCCTCATGGGGATGGGAGACCAAGACCCCTGGCCCAAAAAGGCCGTCTGCCACCATTCATGCCCAAACAAGGGCAGAATTCAGAAGTAGAAAGGAAGTGAGGAAGAAACAAGCGGGCGTTTCAAACTGATAACACGTGTGTGCAGAAAGGCCGAGGAGCTGGTGCTGGAGCTGGAACAGCCGCGCTGGGAGTCCGGGTCCCGCGCTGTGCTCCGCCTGCCTGGGGAGAGCCTGCGGCCGGCGCGTGCGCGGTGCGGCCCCAGCCCCGGCCGCCGCCGCCGCAGTCGCCGCGATGCCTATTTTAGTCAAAGCCACGGCGGGCGCTGGGACCTGCCCGGGGCGACCCAGTCTCCGAAACCGCCTGCGGGCCGAGGCTCCTGCTTTGGGCGCCCGTCGAGCCGCTGCGTCGCTGTTCCGCTGCCCTGCCTTTCCATCGCCAAACTTTGGCCAGCGACGCCCGGGCTCCGTGCCGGGGACAAACCAGGTAAGGAGCCGGAGGGAGGCACAGCTGCCGCCGGCTCTCCCTGGGTGCCGCTCTTTTGCAGCCCTGAGCTCCGGGAGCTAAATCGGGAAGCGAAAGTTGTACCCAGCTCCGCTGAGAGCAACTTTGTTGGCCTCCGGGGCAGCTGCCAGTGTTTAGCGCCCCGGCCAACAAGAGCGCCGCCCTCTGCCCTGATCGCTGTCGGCGCGCTCGCGGCGCTCCCTGTCCTTGGAGGCCACCCATCTGCTCTGGTTTGGGCATCGCGACCACAGACCCTTGGATGTCAGCTGCCAAAGCTCGGGTCAGACAGTGCCCGCGTCCCCAGGCGCTTGACCCACCGGGTGCCGGCTCCCGCGCTCTGCAGCGGGCAAATCCTTTGGCGAGCTCGGAGTCTCTCTCCCTGGGGATCCCGGGGATCCCGGTCCCTGAGCACTCCACGGCTGCCCCGACCGCGGAGACTGCGTGCAGTCAGGTGCAGGGTGTCGCCCATCCCGGGTCCGCGGTAGAAGTGCGAGGTGGGGCACCGTGCTAGCACCGCACTTCTCGCGGCACAGGATCGTTTAGTCCCGGAGATCAATTGACCCCGACCGTTCTTTAAAGACCAAGGTGAGCGGGGCCTCAGGAGAGCAAATGACTCGGTCCTCGCCACGTACTCCGCTTAGTTCCCGAGCCTTTGGGAATTGGGTTGTTGGCCAGACAAGTCTCAGAAACTGCCTGCTTTGGAGCATGAACAACTGCGTAAAGACTCTCAGCCATAATGCCATTTGCCATTCCGGAGATGTTTGAAGATTCAGTTAGAATAACAAAATTAATTAAGTCTATTAGCAAGGTTTTACTCCGTGCTGTTTATCTTAATTTTTGTAGTTTGGTTAAGGTATAACATTAGCTTCACCATTTAGCTATTTAGCCTTGCCAATACCTACTTGAAAAACAAGTTATATAGGATTTTACTAGAACAGGTAATTTAAGGAATTAGACTTTGAGGATCTGACGAGAAAAAGATAACTCTTCTTGATTTAGTCAAAATTAATATGAAAGTTTACCAATTTACCAGTCTAACCTTCCTCACACCCATTCATTCTCTGTTTAGGGGCAGTTCAACATAAGACATTTAAGTCCACTCAGTAGTAATCAACATAAGCTGAAACCCATAAGATCCCATCAATATTTAATGACAAGTGGTAAGTGGCATTTCACAATAGATATATATTATATCTATATATCTAGCTGTATCTGCATATCTTTAATAAGGTGTGGTGCACCAAAATATGTTTTAGGATGATCCTAAATTTTTAAATTTGCCGTTGATATTTTTTGGTTCCTGTGTCCTGGATTGTAGTTTTCCTGGGCCAGAAATTGGGACTTTTAATGCCACTTTAAGAACTTTCAAATGCCTAAAATTGAATCACAGTGGACTTAGTGGGCAAAATTAGTATAATGGAGTGGCTGCAAGGGGGAATGTGATTAAGTCGTTACATAAACCATAGACCTTTAAAACTTGAAGGAATTTCAAAGACCATCTAGTCCAGCTGCCTCTATTCCAAGGCAGAAACAGACTGAGGAACAGCAGTAACTTTGCCTGGCTTATGTGGCTCCCTGGTGGCTTGTGCAGAAGCTGACTGTCAGCCTAGGAAAGCTAGGCACTCTCTTGTCTTCACCAGTGAAAAGTGATTTCTAAAAGTATGTGTCATGTTTATATCCCTTCCATGTGGCTTTCATCTCTGTCTCAGTGGCATTCTTTATAGAGGCTAGGCCTTGTCATGGATGAATAAGCATTACCCCTTCTTCATAGAAGACATAGAATAGTTGGAACAAATGGGACAATGGAGATGCAAATATGTTCTAGAGTACCATAGAAATGTTACTTGTTATTTATTTATGTAATGCTAGGGGACTTGACTTTAGCTTATGAGTAGTAAGGGGACACTTAATATCATCCACTCTCCTGCAGAAATTATGAGATGAATTTTGATTTAGCTCCCAAAAGCAAACTTGGTATAGAGTAATTAAAATAATGATTTCTCTCCATCCCAGTAGGCTTTTTATTCATTTAGACATTTCAAAAGTAGTTGAATTTTTGTTTTTTTCCTTTCGCAGCAAAACAACATTTAAGACAATTATTACTATTTGTGAGCTATTTCAGAATTACACGAAGAGATCTTTAATTTGACTATCATTTCATTGACAGTTTATATAATTTGTATGTTTCATGTATGTGTGTATTTTGTCATCTTAAGAAATGTCAAATTCTTTCACATTTGTCTGTTAATATCCTTTCAAAATACCCAACCTATTTCAATTATTTTACCACCTAAAATATTTAATATGTTAAAAAAAATGAATGGAAAATTAATGTTAATTGTGTGGCATTATTTTGAAAAAAAGTATATATTTCTAAATTAGATTTAAAGGTATTCTGGGTTCCCACTTGTCATTCTTTCCCTTATCAGATTAATTCATGTGTTCCATAAACCTATATAGTTTTGGTCAAGGACCAAATTTGTATAATTAATAATAAAGTTTAAGGACCAGACATCAAAGATAGGTAATATAGTCAGGAAAGAGTGCTATTTTGTATTAAGTTTTATATAAGCAGGCATAAAATATATGTTCCTTGAAATGTATTTAAATGAATCTTAATATTAGTCAAATATATATTCATGACCCTCCTGCGTATAAATAAATTGTAAGTTTACAACTTTTTAATTTGTGAAATGCCATCAACTAGAATTATTATTTCTTTATGTATTATATCTTTATATATATAAATAATGTATCTGATAATATTATATGCATATATAATTACTTAGTATGAATATAATGTTATATAATGATTTAATGATGTTATAAAAATAGAGCATTCAAATATCCCAAGCCTTCTAAATAGTCTAAGATTCCAAATAGCAAATTTGGGGGTATCAGTTATCTTTGAAAGTATTCAAAAAATCAGTTTTCCAGTTATTTTTCCTGTGTTTAGATTTAGTATCATCATTGTGAATATGATGAAACACTATATTGAATAAATTTGGAACTGCTGTGGTTTATGAACATTGGTGATTTTCTTTTAGACTTGTTAATTCCCTTCACTCCTCCCCATCAAGTACATATATATACATACAAATACATAAAATATGCACATACGCATCGAAATACATCGAGAACAGTTGTGCACTATGTGTAGTGTTTTATATATTTCATTTAATTTGAGCATAAAACAAATGAGGTATTATTAACATCATTTAACAGATAAGCAAAGAGGTATAGTTAATATGTGAGTCTATCTAATTCTTAAGCACTGAAACAGACTATTTACCAACATTCAATTCACAGAAATAATTTTGGCATAGCCCCTCTCACAGGGGTGATGTGATATAGTTGCTACTTTTATGATTTTCCTTTTGTTTATTTGTTTTTACAGGAATTTTCAACATGAATTTTACAGAGTCCAGCCCTCTGGCAGAATCAACTGCAATAGGTTTTACACCTGGGTTAGAAAGTCTCACACCTGTGCCTTCCAATGAGACCACTTGTGAAAACTGGAGAGAGATACATCATCTAGTTTTTCATGTGGCAAATATTTGTTTTGCAGTTGGTTTGGTTATTCCAACTACTCTTCACCTTCATATGATATTTCTTAGAGGGATGTTAACTATAGGTGAGCTGCCTAACAGATTTTATATAAATGGGCTTGACCAGGGCTTCAGAGTATTCCTTGTCAGGTCTATAGCATACCCCAAACTCTAAATCTTTATCATCGAATCAGTTGTGTATCAGGTAACTTAGAACATAGGCCTTCACATACTGTATCTCCCTTTTTAATTTGAATGACTATTGTGTTTTCATATATTTAGATTTTCCAGATATCAGAAAATCCATGCATATGCAAAAGTGTACACAGTTGTGTGATTCTTATCTTATTTCCACTGCTTGCTAACTGTGTAATTTGGGCAAATAGTTTAGTTTTTCTGTCACCTCAGTTTCCTTACATGTCAAGGGTTAAAAATAAAACTACCTCCTGGGTTGTTTTAGAGAGTTAAATGAGGTGTGTCTGTGAGATAGATATTTGCCTTACCATAGTACCTGGCACATAGTAGGTACTATACAATCTCAATCATTATTATTTGAAAAGATATTTGCTATGGCCAGTAAAGCAACATTGGGAATAAAAACAATTACCCACATATAATAGTTCCAAGTAAAACTTGATATTGACATTCACAACTATATATGATATAGATAGGTAGGTAGATAGGTAGGAAGATTGATTTGGTCTAGTAACCTTGATGAAACAGGTTGATTCACATCAAAATATTGAAACAATTGAGTCTATTATTTTAGCCAGTAATTCTTGAAAAATTATTCTCTATGAAATTATTTCTGATTATCCATTTATTCAGGTTTTTTTTATATTTATTTTTTAGTTGGACACAATATCTTTATTTATTTATTTTTATGTGGTGCTGAGGATCGAACCCAGGGCCTCACATGTGCTAGGTGAGCGCTCTACTGCTGAGCTACAACCCCAGCCCATCAGGTGTATTTTTGACACCTGTAATGTGTCCGATCAAGATTGAGGAAGGCAATCTCCATCCTTCTAAAGACTGTCATGGGGACCAGGAGAAAAACGATGGGCAGTCACAGTATGGAGGGTCGGAGTCTGTGACGCAGGTGTTTTCCCAGTGCCTGGGTGAGGGGGAGTGTGGGGAAGGTGTCAGCATTAGTAGGAGGTTGGAGCAAGTTCCCACTGAAGGGGTCACATGACAGCTGGCTTTTAAGATGAGCAGGACTTCTCTGAGAGTACAGGGTCCCTATTAAGGAGCACAGAAGAGAGGAAAGGAATTTCAGCATATCAGGGTGAATGAGGAGTAGCTCTTGTCCCTGAAGTATATGAGAAATGACAAGAGGAGGCTGGAAGGGTAGCTAGAAAGTAGCTTGAGTGTCTTCTATGGCTGTGTGATTCAGACAAGGTAGAAATAGTAGCAAATGGAGCAGGATGTTAGGTGGAAAATGAAAAAGAAAAACCCACAATTTTTTTTTAAATCCAATTATGAATTTTAAAATCAGAGTTTAGAGATGGAATGGACCAAAGGGATCATCTAGTCCAATACTTTATAAAGAGATAAGTGAAGACACAGACAGTAAAGTGATAGGCTTTATTCAGATGCTCTCAAAAATGAAGTTAAAAATTGATGAAGTTAAAAATTGCAAATAAATGACTTTTTAATGTCCACGCTTAGCTTTTGTGTGCACATATTGATATATTTGTCTCTTAGTGATCATTTTATATTAGATTTAAAATATTCACTCTCCCACCATAAAATTGAAAGAAACTGAGGATATTTTATATAAGAAACAAGAATTGATGAGAAAACATGGGAAGATTCCAGCAGTTGAATAGATAATTGCTGAGGTCAATTCAGATGACTAAGACATTTTGTAAAACACTTGGGTTCCCCAGTAATCACAGAAATACAAAATAAAATATTTAATTCCTCACTATTAAGAATTTTCAAATTTTATAATATTAACAACTTGATACTGACATTCCCAACTAGTAGGTTCATTCCCTAGATTCACCTTCCACTAATTAATCACAAGCATGAAGTTTTCTACTAATTAATCACAACTTTATACTGGCATTCCCAATTAGTAGGTTTATAAATTTGTACAAATGTTTTGAAAAACAGTTCTTCAATATTATCCAAAGCTAAGCAGTTCATTCCTAATCACAAATAAAAGATATGGTTTTATATATAAAGTTGCTTTTGCTACTTATCAAAAATTATAACCCCCAAAATATCTGTCAATAGGGAAATGGTTAAATAAATTGTGTTTTAATCAGTTACAGTCATTAAAAACTACACTTACAAAGAGTTTTAAAGATGGGAAAATCATTATAATAAGTTTTAAAAATAGGTTTTAAAATTGTCTGCTCAAAAAAAAATTATCTGTACCATAGGTTTTCCATCAGGTAGAACTACATGAATGTTTTAAGGCAGTATTAAATATCAGCTGTGATTTTCTTTAAGTTGTAGAATTATGAACTTTGTCCCCTTTTAACAAATATTTTTTTAATAGAAAACCCAAAGGAAACTTAATTCAGCATAAATACTTCTGAAATGTGTTCGTTTATATAGAGAGGGTAAATTTGTCAAGCCACTTGCGGAAGTCATTCTAGATATCTAATATGCTAACTTTGTTGTTCAACAGGTTGCACCCTTTATATCGTCTGGGCCACTCTCTACCGATGTGCCTTGGATATAATGATCTGGAACTCTGTGTTCTTGGGTGTCAACATTTTGCATCTTTCATATCTTTTATACAAGAAAAGACCGGTAATTACTAAAATTATCTAAAAGGAAATATTTTAAAGATAAAAGCTTTTAAAAGTACTTTCATTCAGACTTGAAAGTGAACATCTAACACATTTATTCCCTTTAATATCATTTCTCTGAAGCTTAGACTTTCTGTTTATATATTGCCTGAAAGTAAAACATTCTAGAACTGTGAAATTTGTCCTACAAATGAGTTTTTAAAACTTTTTAAATCATTAAAACATGAATAATATTCTCTTTTTTAAAATCTATTACTTGATTATATCTTTATCTATTGGTACTCAAATGTCACTTGGGAATATCTTTGCCTATTTCTAAAATGGCTAACTAATAACCATTAGTGATAATTTCATATTAGATCTAAAATATTTATGGCAACTTCCATAAATCTACTAATGATTTCCTGAGTTCATACTTTTTTAAAAAAATTTTTAGTATTTATTTTTTAGTTGTAGTTGAACACAATACCTTTATTTTATTTATTTATTTTTATATGGTGCTGAGGATCGAACCCAGGACCTTGCACATGCAAGGCGAACGTTGGACCGCTGAGCCACAACCCCAGCCCAATGAGTTTATACTATTTTCTTAGTGTAATGGTTATGTATTTTTTTCATATGCCCAAATTGTTCATTTTGGGTGAATAGTTGCCAAAACACCCCTATTTAACTGTTTATTTTCAATTCTGATTTATCTTGTGTTTCCTTGGTCATACCCAAAACAAAAATAGAATAGGAAAACAGCAGGGCTCCTAGAAACTACTTGAGGATGATTCCTGACTGTCCTAAGCACAAACATTCAGTGAAGGATGTAGCTCTTGCTCTAATCTTATGTCCAAGTTCAGACCTGCTCGTAGAGAGCTGCTAGGAAACACAGTGATTTACAGGAAGCCACAATTTGAATGATACATTAGATGTATACAGTAGGCATTCCGCTTTGTAACCTCCTCAAACATAGTAACTCAGTTTGTTACTTTACTGTATCACTCAGTTTTCTCTAGGTCATGCTGGCTAATAAGCAACCTGAAAATCTCAGTGATATATAATAGCCATGGGCTTTTTTCCTCATTCATCTAATGTGTTGACTCGCAGCCGTGTGCAGCTGTGATTCTGTCTCATTATCATATTCATTTCAGGGTCTCTGAAGGAGCAGGTTCTGTTTGGGCCATGCATTCTCATGGCAGAGGGAAAAGTTCAAGAAAATGAAAAAGAAAATACCCATTGTTTCTTAGAATGTTTGCTCAGAAGAGACACATGTCACTTCTGCTCATATTTCATTAGCCAAAGCAAATGACATGGCCAAGCTTGACAATGAGTGGGTGCAGTAAGGGCAAGTATAACCCTTTTATAGGGGTTGGGAACAATAATATAATCTAACACACTTAACTGTTGTAGCTTGTTTCTGTCAAGCATGATTGGCACACAGTAGGTGCTCGGAAAAAACTTGATGAGTGGATGCTTTCAAAGAGGAGCAGAATTAAGAGGGCTTCGTAAAGAAATCTGGTTATGAGCTGAGACTTGTAGGATAAGTAGATTATGAGTATGTGCCCCTAGACTTCAGATCTGACTGTGCCATATTGGAGAAAGTGCATGCTAGAAGAAAGACGTGTGCAAATAGACTTAGATGCTCATTACTAGAGCTCTGGAGTTGGGGGATGTAAGTGATTGTAACAATGAGGATAACAGTTCCTGAAAACCAGAACTTTTTGGAACCCCAAAATACAAGGTTCAGGAGTTGCTGATGTGATTGAAGCACCAAAAAGGTAAAGTACTTCACATCTGTGCTTTTGTTTCTTCTTGGGCTATCAGCCTATATTCTGAAAAATATAAATTCTGGTTCTTCATCAAAATGAAACAGAGGACAAGTAAGATCACTGCAAATGTTGGAGCAATGACAGGTTGGAGCAGCTCTTGTGATCTGGTCTGTAAGCTTCCAAGTGCATCTGCCAGAGCTTTAACTGGGACAGAGTTCATTCACAGAGCAGTGCAGCTTTCCATCCACCCAATTAGTGTGGCTTCCAGAGACATTGCTGGGCCCAGAGATGGGGCAGGACCTGGGCCTGGGAGAATCTGAAAACAGGTGATCAAGCTGTTTTGCTTTTCTCTTCCTCCAGTAGCCAGCCTTATTCACCAGTGGGCTTTCTCCATTCTGCAGAGTTCATTTTAGTTTAGGATGAGATCCCTGCACTGAAACTGAAACCCTTTTTCCCCCTTCAGTTTGCTCGAGAAGACATAAATGTGAAGCAGTGATTGATTGCAGTTGTAGATGTTTATTTTCCTATATTGGTACATTAAGTAATCGTTACAAGGTGATTAAATGCTTAGAGTATCTGACTATTATTTTTGTCAATTTGTTTTCACATTGATTCTTATTTTTATGTAATGTATTTTCTTGCTATAATATTTAAAAGTTAATGTAATTTCTTTTGGTGAGACAAAGGTTTTGTGTTATTTGTAGAATGTTCTGGGGTTGGGAGGGTGCATGTCCTGATAATATTCAGAACCTTAACAGCTGCATCCAGGTCCATAAAAAGAGGTGTGATCAATACTGTCAGTCTTCCCCTTGTGCTCTCAGAGTTGTGTTTACTGCAAAAGTGCTGTTTTATTTTACTTTATTTTAGCACATAAAGTATAAACTCGCATCACTACTTACTCTCTAAGACTCCATTGACCTACATGCAGAAGAGTGATGGTGTTTACTGCAGATTTGTTTATTTTCCATCCACATTTAGACCACAGAAGTGAGTGTTTGGGGGTTGTTGCTTTAGTGCAGCATCTGGTCATTGCTCCATTTCAGGTCAAGATTGAAAGGGAACTCACTGGCATCTACCGGCGATTATTTGAACCACTCCATGTGCCTCCAGATTTGTTCAGAAGATTGACTGGACAGTTTTGCATGATCCAAACCTTGAAAAAGGGGCAGATTTATGCCGCAGAGGATAAAACCTCAGTTGATGACCGTCTGAGTATTCTCCTGAAGGGAAAGTAAGTGCTGTATGGAAGCAGGAATTCTTAACTTGCCTTGAAACCTTTCCATGGCCCTTAGCAAGGAAAGGAGTAGAAGGACATATTGCCAACTAATGCAGGAAGCAGTCTCAGAGTATGGTGTTGATGCAATTTTGTTTTACAAGTCAACTCTGGTACTCAGTGGAGCACCATGTTAAGGCTAGGTAGACTTTACTACTCTAAATCTTGTAGATGTCAAAGTTTTCAATTGCAGACATTTTTAACTATTTTCAAATTTTGTTAAGTTAATGAGTCAAAATCAAAATAGGTTTAAATTTGGCTCTAACATTTAAAAAGCTTATATGTGCTATAGAGGTGATTTGCTTATTTTTGAATATCACAAAAATATATCTTCCAGGGATGTCAGTCTTCTGGGGAAAGAGCCAGTTTGTGTCATACAGGTGTAATTATTAATAGCATCCCTTTTCCTCTTAAAAGTCTCCCAGTTTGAGTAACAAATTACATAGTCACTCCAGCCATAAGCGCAATGATAACCTGTTTAATAATGAAAGCTAGTTTTTTTTTTTCCTTCCATTATTTTTTAAATGATGGTGTGCCTCAGGAAGAGCTTTTAATCATGTCTATCATCTGTGGAATCTTTAAAACTTTTGCACAAAATATAATCCTATAAACGTATGGTAATTTGAAGGATTGTCATGTTATTTTGTGAAATATATGTATATTAACATTGATTTCTGTTATCAGAATGAAGGTCTCCTATCGAGGACATTTTCTGCATAACATTTACCCCTGTGCCTTTATAGATTCTCCTGAATTTAGATCAACTCAGATGCACAAAGGTGAAAAATTCCAGGTATGTTTGGCATGGTTTTTAAAAAGATAAACACTAATTCATATATCATCAAAAATCTAATGAATATTAATAGAAAAGTGACCATGATTTATTTTTTTTAAAAAAGAGATCATCACATAGCATATATAGTATAATCCCATCTTTTTAAAAAAAGGTTTAAAATATTGTGTGTATATGTACAAATAGAGGGCTAAAAAGATATACAGTGTTAGTCATGGTGTTAACACTGTTGTTTCTGTGTTGTGAGTTTACTTGCTTTTTAAGTATTTTTCCTTTTTGCTTATTTGAATTTCTATAGTTTTCCTATAGAAAACATTGAATATTTTTATTATAGGAAAATGTGAGTTGTAGATAATCGGTGTTCCTGAAGCATGTAATTGATTACTTTTATTAGGGAAAAATGGAAAACCAGTTTTGCCCTAGAGAATTTATTTGTTGATACTTGTGGGGAAAAAAAAAACAACTAATCAGTACCCTTTTTTACTCAATGAATATGTTTAAAGGCAAAGAATAAAATCCTTCACAGTAGCAACAATTTGAACATGGCCTGTTCAGTGTCATTCCTTCTGTGTGTATGTGTGTTTCATTGCTCCCTTTCATGACCCTTTGTTCTGATTTGTTTCTGTAAGTGCCCAGCCCTCCTATTGTATTTTTTGTTGGTAGGAAAATAACCAAGAACATGGTTGAGGATTTCCTTTAGTCTCAGCCTTAGGAAAAACAGTAGTAAGAAATACCTTGAGAATAGGATTGCTTGTGAACGAGATGATACAAATATTCAGGTGGGAAGTGGAATTGAAGGGCATGTTCTAAGGGAGAAGAAATGGCAGTATTTCTTGATGGCAAGATCTTAGAGTCTTGTTTTGAGATGCCACAGAGTGAAGATAAAAGAGGAAATTTGGAGGTATATACTTTAGTTTATTTCATTTATAATGACTTCAGCCCTTCCCTACTCCCATCTGGCCTAAGTAATCACACAGCTTGTTAAATTTAGGTGCATGTACTAGGAGGTCTCATTTAAGTTCCCCAACTGTGTGTGTCAGTGTTCCCATGCTAACTCCACTTAAGATACAGAAAGAGAATGCTGGTGCTGTATCCTGGCCCCTCTGGTTGACGCTATCACTCTTGTTATTGTGGGGGTCAGCTGTGGGCTGAGATTTATGTTCTTATTATATCTTTAATCACCACAATCTGCATACTGGAGCAGGGCCACTTCTTTCTCCTCTCCTTTCCTCTGTCTTCCTTATAGCTGCTTTTTTCAAAGCACAATATTTATCTCCTGCATCTGTTTTTGTATATAGTTGCAGGTGGTTTTATATGATAACCCAGTCTCATCCTGAGGAGACTGGGATTGAGGACTGAACCTTTGTTTCCAGAAGCAACTGGTGCCTGAGAGGCCAGGCATACAAATATTATCACCGTTTTTTCCACTGGATTTCAAATTATATTATAAGTGAGTTAAAAAGAAAGAAAGAGAAAAAGAAAACTCATTTCTACTTATAGCTGTAATTTTCTTTCTTCTTGGGGACTAGGGTTGGATTTTGGGAGTTGAGAATTATTCCTGAAAACTAATATGGAGAGTCTAAGAACATGACCAAAATTGAGATACAGTAGCTTGAGGAAAGACACTGATTTGTCCTTGGCTAATCCCAGTCAGCTTTTCTCTGCATAGAACCTGGGTGGCTTTTCATGATTGGCCAATGGGTAAAAATTACTCTAGTATCAACCAGCCTATGCCTGTACAGTCAGAGCCAACTCCATCAACTCTGGGAGAGATGACGCTTTGATTGTTTATAAATGTTCCTATTGACAGATACTCAAGAGTAAGAATTAACTGGTGCACATTTGTGTAGGAGTACTCTATATATGGCTCTTACTGAAGCAAGTTTACAAATGGAAAATACTATGTGCTTCCAGGGTCAACTTCTTACTCCCTGTGCCAATCACAGAGGACACTGGAAGTGGTCACTGGTCAAACTTCTTTCCCCATATGCTTTTTACCTCTAAACTCATCTCCTTCCCTAACTCTATTTAGGGAGTTTTCTAAAAAGGAGCTTCAGGGGCTGGGGCTGTTTCTCAGTGGTTAGCGTACTTGCCTGGCATGTGTGAGGCCCTGGGTTCGATCCTCAGCACCACATAAAAATAAATAAATAAAGTTATTGCGTCCAACTACAACTAAAAAAATATAGACATTTTTATTAAAAAAGGAGCTTCATCCTTTGAATTTTTGTATCTTTAAATTCATTCTGTGGCCAGAGTGCTGATGAATTATATAATAGGACAAAAAGGAGAAAAGAAAAGGCAAGTCCCTAAGCAGCACAGAGTATTGCTCAGGTAAATGTGTAGTAATTATAATGACAATACACATGGTGATGGGGGTGAGCAAACAGACTCTGAACTTGCAATTCATTCTCCCTAGGTACTGGTAGGTACATACAGATCAAAGCTGCCACTTAAATTTGTTGATAGAATCTTGAGTATCACAGCCATGTATCGGTGGTACATGCCTGTAATCCCAGTAGCTCAGGAGGTTGCAGCAAGAGGATCGTGAGTTCAAAGCCAGCCTCAGCAACTTAGCAAGGTGCTAAGCAACTCAGTGAGACCCTGTCTCTAAATAAAATGCAAAATAGGACTGTGGATGTGGCTTGGTGGTAGAGTATCCCTGGGTTCAGTCCGAAGAAGAAGAAGAAGGAGGAGGAGGAGGGGGAGGGGGAGGAGGAAGGAGGAAGGAAGAGGAGGAGGAGGAGGAAGGAAGAGGAGGAGGAGGAGGAAGAAAGAAGAAGAAGAAGAAGAAGAAGAAGAAGAAGAAGAAGAAGAATCATCTTGAGTATCATTCTTACACCTTAAAAGGTGTTTTGTGTTTGGTTTCTTTTTCTTCATGCAGTTGTCTTATCTGAAATGAGCATTCCCATTTGCACATTTTTCTTTTGCATTCTATCTCATACTTTTGCCTTCCCATAGCCAGTAGCATGTCCTGGTACTGCAAAGCCTGGAAATCAATTTTATTCACTTAAAGAGGAAGGTCTTGGAGGCATAGGTGAATATGTATATGTGAAATAAATGAATTGTGAAATAAGTTAATGCTAAGTTTTAACTGGTATTTAAAGAAAAGAGTATCTTAATACTAAGTAGATATTTCAGTGATGCTGACTAATAATTTGCCAGTTTTAACTCTGCTGTATTTTACTGCCCATGAGAACTCAATGAGCATCAGTTGAATAGAACAATTCTAGGATATTTTCATTTTCCTGGTATGTAAAATGCTGTATGATGCATTAAAAAAAGTAATAAATTCTTCCCTTAGGACAGTTGAATAATCCTTTCAGACAGCTCTTTCTCTTCTTTTCAGACAGCTCTTTCTGATACTAGCTTATTCAGCACGTCTCCCAGATGCCCTCTTTCCCCGCAGGATAGAGTCCACTACCTTTTCTTTATGGCAGGTGTAGAACTGGTTTGGAATCTAAAGTCAGGGACTCATCCGGTCAGTGCCTTGAAATAATCAGGGCAAACCCAGTTGCAAACAGTCTACTTCTCCATCTGAAAGAGTTTTTGTGTTTTGCCTTGCTGTGTTTCTTGCTTTTATTGCTTTGCTTTTATTTCTTCAGTAAAATTCTTCACAAGAATTCAGACATGGTACTGCTGAAGTACCCTAATAAGAAGTAAATTTATTTTATGGAAGCTTTAAAAATTCTTATGTTGATTTATTTGAATTTTTTCATTAAAATACACTTGACTGTTGTGACAGGAAATCATTAAATTTAACTATCTATTTGGCAGAAGTGAAACATTAGCTATCAAGCAAAATAGCCTCCGTGAATGCACTAGCCACTGGCTCCCAAATACTATAGGTATAGTTTGTTATATGCATGCTGTTATTAAATATTCAATAATAATTTAAACAGGTATAAAGTAATTTTCAACTGTAAGTAATAGATGGATTTGCTAGACAGATTATAGTGTCATGATAAAAAGTATCATGCCTCAGAGGAAACTTGAGGTAATTCACATGGTTGAAGAAAAATTAAATACATTACATGTATTGTCCAAGTCAAATTTCTACTCCTGGATGATTTCCAACTTCTCCTGTAACTCTTTCCCCACTGCAGGTGAATTGTATTTTCCAGAGTCTCAGATGACATCTACATAATGAAAGGACCTTAGGTCCCCTTACCCTCTCTTCAGGGCTTATGTGTGTGGCTGTGCCACCATGAGTACCCAGTGCTCATCTTTCCGTTATTTCTACTATTGAACATTTGCCTTTCATTTACTTATCTACCACTTACTCTTTCTGGGAATTCCCTATGGCTGGACCTTATACTTCTCTTCCAATAAGTCTTTTCATATTTTAGTCATACTACTTTATTATCAGCTTCCTTCACTAAAACACAGAAATAGTGATCCTGTGTTTAGCTGTTCTTTATATGAAGGGCTCTTGATGCACTGTAAAGCCAACCTTGTGGTCACTTAGCTGAATTACTAGTATGTGATTGTCTATGAACATGGGAAGCATTGAATTGGATTTGGCATGGTGGGGAAATGTCTGGGCTAGCAATGAAAAGTACTCACACCACCCCCTAACTAACATGTGTTCATGAGTAAGTTTTTTGGTCTTTCTCATTTAGCATCTGACAAATGAGAAATATTGTCTGCCTTATTTTAAAGGCAATGTTAAGGATACATTTACATGATAGATGTAAAGGCATCTTAAGTGTTTAAAAGAACCAATACATATATAAAATAAGTGACATTATATTCAACTATCATCCCCTGGTTATTCTCTATCACTTTCCCCTGTTCTGTATTTGTCAGACACTTACTGTCACCTGAGGTTGTCATATTTCTTCATTTATGATCAGCCTTCTCCACTAGAACATAAGCTTCATGGAGCAAGGATCTTGTCTTGTTTACTTTGCAACTTCTGTGCCTTGAAAAGTATCTGGAATTAAGTAAGTCTGTATTAATGTATAGAAAGAATGAATGGAATTTAGTGTTTTATGGAGTTTTACAGCTGCTGGTTAATTTCTTAAATTCAAACATGTTTGGTTTTGGAGACACTGACTTTTTCTTTTAATATTTTCTTTTAGTTGTTGATGAACCTTTATTTTATTTATTTATATGTGGTGCTGAAAATCAAATCCATTGCCTCGCACATGCTAGGCAGGTGCTCTACCACTGAGCTATAACCCCAGCCCCAACACTGACTTTTAACATTAAAAAAAGTCTGAACTTTCTTTTTTCTAGGAACATCGACCCACTTTTTTAAATAGCTGAACCCTCTAATTTGCTAAAGATTGCAGATTTCAGCCTATTGATGTAAAAGAGAGAAGCTGTTTTTTTTTTTTTCATTTTTTCTCTTGGTACACTTAAATACACTCAGCCATCTGAAATGTATATAATTTTTGTGCCTTATGAAGGGGAAAAAACTTCTTTGAAAATATTTGCTCTGAAGCTCAGATAAGACTTCATGTCAGTTTACAAACCTTTATTAATCTCATACTGGAGCAGGCATTGGGTTTAATGTGGAGGATCTAAAAATGGTTTTTGCCTTCAACAGTATCTGCATTCATTTGTTAATTCCTTTATATAATAATCATGCATGAGCACTACTGTGTGTCAGAAGCTTGACATTCAGACCTGAAAACTCAGGATCCCTGCCATCAGTGTGCTTAGGAGACACATGCGTTAACAGATAAGTTTGGAGGTAGTGGTATGAGTGACATTTGAAAAGGAATACTCAGTGCTGGAAGAGGACCTGCATGGGAGAGTGGCTTCTGGACACTGAGCTGTGAGAAGGTGGCCCTCACTCTGGAGAAAGGATTTATTCCAGGGATTCTTGAATTCTGGGTGATGCATCTACAGTGTCCTCCCACTTCTTGTGCATCGTAGTTAGCAGAAAGGGTATGGCTTCACAGTCTGAGCAAATCGAGGTATCTCTGTGTGTATCCCCAGTGGGCTACCATGGAGCTAGCCTTGAAAGGCCAAGGATGCTCACCAACTGTACTCATTGGTAACAGCCTACGCCCTTAAAGTTTCTCAGTCTCAAGTGTGTATTTGTTGGGTCAGCTTGGCAGAAGATCTTTTTCTGCACTGTGCCTGACAAATCGTACCTCATTTCATTTGTTTGAAGCTCTGTTCTTAAAGCTCATTATCTTCAACAGGATATAAAGAAATATTCACCTGTAAATGACAGGTCCAATTGTAATATCAGTCTAGCACACTCTACGGCAACATGTTGACAGCAGCCATTCTTCTGTCCCCAGACCTCACAAAAACAACAGAAGAGATTTGCTTCTGTTTAGTCTGTAGAATGGAACTCAGGGGCACTCAACCACTTCAACCACCCAGCCACATCCCCAGCCCTATTTTGTATTTTATTTAGAGATAGGGTCTCACTGCGTTGCTTAGTGCCTTGCCATTGCTGAGGCTAGCTTTGAACTTGAGATCACCCTGACTCAGCCTCCAATGCAAAATGTTTTTAAACATAATTTTATACATGATTATAGAAACTTGGAATATAAATAATATGACAGAATCATTGCTATGATAATATCTGCTAAATGTACTCTTCCCTTCTCCCAAATTACTACAGTCATAATTCATATTGGTAGATATGTTTTTTCCTTTGTGTCTTTGGCAGGTCACCATTATTGCAGATGATAACTGCAGATTTTTATGCTGGTCAAGAGAAAGATTAACTTACTTTCTGGAATCAGAGCCTTTCCTGTATGAAATATTTAGATATCTTATAGGAAAAGACATTACAAATAAGCTGTATTCATTGAATGATCCCACCATAAATGATAAAGTAAGTGCTTTTCTGATTTTTTTTCTTAAATAAATATGTAGGGTGGGGTATTATTCACTTGACACAATGTTTTCCCGCATTTTTATTAAGTAGTCTATGCTAAATGCAAAGGGATACTTGTAAGGGAGAAATCCTTCAGCAAATTGTTTCTTAAGAGCAAGAAAGTATTTCACAATTATTTAATTTGAATCACTTAGTGAGGAGTCTATAACTGTCAGGGACCAGCATTTATGGGTATCATGTACTGTCCTCTTTAAGAGTCTTTTAAACAAGGACTCGGGTTAGAGGGGGCCCAGGGTGGTGTGGCAGTGGGAGGCGGCAGACAGGGAAGGGCTGACAGACAAGGCCCCAAGTGCAGGAGGTTGGCATTTTTAGCCCTGCTGTCTTCTAGTCTTGCACATCTTCCTGGCCACTCCATCTCCCAGGAATCCCACAGGTAACGGGAGAGTGTAAACTTGCAAAGCTGCAAAGATCAACAGTTTGCAATTTGATCATAATCTCCCACATTTGTTTAGAAGGAAATTGAATTTTTTATGGAAGAGAACTTGCAAAACACCGTTTCTGTGAAACGTACCGTTCTCCAGGAACATAGACTATGGCACGTGTCTCTTAACTCATCTAGTCTAGGCTATTTATCACATTAAGTTTGAGCTTATTATTTCAAATTAGTAAATAGGCTATTGAGTATATTAAATTTTTATAATGTGTTTATAGTAACACCTAATAATAAAAATCATAGCTCACATTTATAGGGCACTAAATGTGTCCCAGGTCCTTTTTTCTTTTTGCACTAACTTATTTCAAGGAAAAGTACATGCTGCTTACAGGGAATAGGTGATTCAAGTTCCATAAATCTCTGAAATATTAAAACTTTGCTTTGTAGAAGGCCAAAAAGTTAGAGCACCAGCTCAGCCTTTGCGCACAGATCTCCATGCTGGAAATGAGGAACAGCATAGCCAGCTCTAGCGACGGGGAAGACGGTTTACACCAGTTTCTGCGGGGCTCCTCCAGCTTGTCTTCTCTTCGTAAGTTACCTCGAAACATAATACTCCAGGGTGCTGATCGACGTTCACAGGAACAGGCAATTGACAACTTTAATCAGAAAAATAACTGTGCAAGCAACCATTTAGAAACCGAAAGGTAGCAATGAAAGCACCAAATCTTCCTTAGCTTTTTTCCCCTTTACTTTGTGTCAGCTACAGTCCAACTTTAGAATGCTTATTGCTGTTTCAGAAATCATTCACTTGTTCTATCAAATACTTTACTTAAATACTGGTTCACTAGAATGGTGTAAGAGTTCAGGTGGTCTGGTGGATATTTGACTTTGTTCTTTTCATGATTTCGGAGTGGAAGCTAGACCCAGCAATGTGTGAAAAATGGTAGAAGCTGGGTGCAGTGGCACAGGCCTGTAATCCCAGCAGCTTGGGAGGCTGAGGCAGGAGGATCGTGAGTTCAAAACCAGCCTCAGCAAAAGTGAGGCACTAAGCAACTTAGTGAGACCCTGTCTCTAAATAAAATACAAAATAGGGCTGGGGATGTGGCCAAGTGCCCTTGAGTTCAATCCCTAGTACTCCCCTGCACCCCCCAAAAAGATAGGAAAACTATTGCTGGATGTTTTATTGCTACTGATCATCTCACCCTGAGCACTGAGATTTAAAAAGTGATGGGGTAATGGGATATTCCTGTTGAAAATCATTCAACAACCTGTGAGTTACCTCATTCACCTATTACTGGGAGGTAAATTTTCCAATACTCATTTATAGTTTAGATTGCTTTACATCATTTTAAGTGACACTAACAACACAGATGTTGAAAAATTGTAAGGAAAATGAGAGGAACTAAATTATTTTAATAATTAAATTAAAATTTAAGAATTATTCTGAGAGCAAAAGGACTTGGAAGAAATTCATGTGAAATTGCAAAAAGGCAGACAAATTCTTTCACTGCATGAACTAAAAACTCTTTACATTTCCAACTGTATTCTAAACCAACTTTTTAAAAAAATGCCATCACTCTGAATACTGTTTATGTAAATGACCTTGTAACTTTGTTTAGATAAATTGGATTAAGGATTTTAAGTATTACGTAGTCAAGAGAGGTTGGAATTTACAAGGCTATATAATGGGTGAAGCAGGGGAGGCAAAACTTCACCTCTTCCCTTATAGGGTTTTTGACTGTGCCTAAGAAGTAAATTGACAGAAGACAGATTAACAAGAAAAAAGCAGATGTATTTAGTGTAAATTTTTCATGGCCCAGGAGCCCTCATAAGGATATGAAGACCCAAAGAAGGAGTTGGAGTCAAGCACTTCTACATACTGAGTTGGACAAAGATAGGAAGTTGTAAAAATAGCAACTAAATTATGTTGGAAGATACAGTTCGAGTTATTTAAACAAAGTTTGTACAGAAGAATTCTATCTCAACTTCCTGTCCTTGATGAAAATGCCGTTTTCCTTCTAGTACATGGAGGGTACCTTTCACCTGGGAATTTCTTCTCCTGTTTATAGAAACAGAAGGAAGGTCAGAGTGATCCTCTTTTACCTGCTGTTTATTTGTTTTTTTAGGTGCCTTTAACTCAAAACAGTCAATATGCCATTAGAGCATATTGTGTGTGTGTAGTGCTAGGGATTGAACCCAGGGCCTTATGCATGTGAGGCAAGCACTCTACCAACTGTGCTATATCCCCAGCCCAATAAGAGCATATTTTTAACTCCTATAGATGTAAGCTTCCCAAGCAAAGTCTAGGCATAAAAATATGTTATGGACCTAAATGGGATTTTTATTTTATATTTATTTATTTATTTTGGTACCAGGGATTGAACCCAGGGGCACTTAACCACTGAGCCCACATCCCCAGCCCTTTTCTTATTTTTGAGATAGAAAGTTGCTGAGACTGGCTTTGAACTTGCAATCTTCCTGCCTCAGCCTCCCAAGCTGCTAGGATTATAGGTTCATGAGACCATGCCTGGCCCTAAAGGGGATTTTAAGGACAATATTCATGAGAAATTGGAAATGATTGCATTTTATTCCATCATAACTTTTTGAAAGTATGGACTGAGGCTCACACACAGGTTGAGTATTCCCTCAATCCATGTCTTCCCCATTCTAACAAAGGAGTAGCCATCTCAGGGCTGTTGCCATTGTTATGACAGAGGGAAGATGGTGGTGGCAGATTGTCCTAGCAGCTCCTAATGCTCCACAGTGACGTGTGCTATGTGCATCCTTGTTCTCTAGACCAGAGAAGGTATTTGGCCAGAATTGTCAATGACAGGGGGTTTAAAAGCAACCCAAAAATTATATTTCTGCCCTGCTGGCAGAAAGGGGTTAATGAGAGAAAGAAAGCAGGTAGTTTGACAGCAAGCCAGTCTACTTCAGTGGCTATTATTTTACTTCACAGATGAGGAAATGGGAAATATGTGATGCTTATTCACGTGTTCCAGTTCCACAAGGGTTTTTTTTTCCTGGTATATAAACCTAGAGAGCATTTCTGATTGTAAAGCTCATGCTTGTAGACCAGATTCATAGCCATCAAGGGCTCACTGCCCAGTGTACACAGAAGCCAATACTATGGCACTGGGTTTTTGCAAAAAGAAATTTATTGAAGGCCAGCTGACAAGGAGATGGGAAACAAGCTCAAGTCTGTCTGCCGATCAGCCACTAGCAAAAGAATTTAAGTGGAGAAATCAAAGGCTGAGGGGTTGTAACTGCAATCTTGCTAGAATAGTCCTTACCTCATAGTCCAGTCCATAGTCACACTTATGGATAATTGAGAACTGTTGACAGCATCCCTTGCTTCTAATCTAAGTTTTCAAGGCCCTGTTCTCTTTCTCAGGTTCTGCTTCTCAGAAAATTTTGGTTCCATCAGGCTCTCAAAGTCATTTTAGGTCTGGTACTAGGGTTCTGTGCTTGCATCCTGAAAAAACAGCTTGAACAGTTTTTAGGAAGAGAGAAGTTGCCATTTTATGGCTCAGTTTCAAAATTGCCTCTATTTTTCAAAAGAAAATAGATGCAAGTAGCATTTGACTAGTGCTGTATGATTTACAGATCATTTTCACATCCATTCTTGCATTCGAGTTTGACAACTCTGTGAGCTAGTCTCGGCAGCTGTTTTTATTCCAACAGCATGTATACATCATGTTTGGTGGATATATTTCTAGTCTCTTAATTTATGGGCTCCGGCAGGTATGCTAGTACCTGCATGTAATCTCAGTTACTTGGAAAGCTAAGGCAGGAGGATCACAAGTTTAAGGCCAGCTTGGGCAATACAGCAAGACCGCATCTCAGAAATAATACATTTCTTTTTCTTTTTTGGGGTTATGAGGGATTGAACTCAGAGACACTCAACCACTGAGCCACATCCCCAGCCCTATTTTGTATTTTATTTAGAAACAGGTCTCACCAAGTTGCTGAGTGCCTCGCTTTTGCTAAGGCTGGCTTTGAACTTGCAATCCTCCTGCCTCAGCCTCCTGAGCTGCTGGGATTACAGGCATGTGCCACCGTGCCTGGCTTCTCTTATATGTTTCTATATTTTGTTTTGTTTGGTCCTGTAGAACATTGTTTCTTGAATGTACAATTGAATCTCTTAGAGACCCTATTAAAGATCCTGATGCAGCAGGTCTGCAGTGGGGCTGGGAGTCCACATGGTTAAAAAGGACCCTAGTGATGCTAATATGGTCTGTGAACTACCCTCTGACAGGCTACAGAATTCCAGAACAGAGGGAATTCTGCAGATCGAATACTGTGGAGTGATTAGTGTCCTTGTATTTCTCATCTGCTGAGAGTTCAGACTGGTGCATGGACTCTGGAAGGTACTACTTGCAAAGACCCCAGCCAGTGTGGGACATAATGCCACAGACATACTTGGTATCACTACACAGTAGATGTGTCATTAAACAGAAATACAGTTCACCAAAAGGTGAGGGGAAACTTTATGGCAACTGTTTCATTGCAGTGACTGCCACTCCACTTCTGACATTGTGCTTTCTTTTTGTACATGTCACACAGTGCTAAATCTACAGCAAAATCTCTGCTCCCGATCACACAGATTGTGTTCCACTTCAAACTGTCATTTAAGGGAGAAAGTGAAATAATGAGACAACCTGAGAAAAATGCATTCAATTAACTTCTTTCACTTTCCCATTCCTTCATGTACTGGGTTCCATGTTTGTTTGCATGATTGTGATACAAAAGGCAGGATCAAGAGGGACAAGAAGTCCAAGATGTAGGAGAAGGGTCTAATGCCATCACATGCTTAGCCTTCCTCTCTGCTCCTGGGCCAAGCTGCCTCTCATTAGGAAACCTGGCCACCTCCTCTCCTCATAAGGCTTTATCTCCCTGCAAATAATGTATAAATGTTCCCCCCTCCCCTCCCTCACACACAGATTGCTTTTGCTTGGCAGTTTTCCACTAATAAGTGGTGGTGAGCACAAGCATTGCCATGGCAACAGGAGGGCATGTTATGTTTCCTTGAAAGTTGCAAAATTTTATTTTAGTTAATTGGGAACAAATAACCTATTGTCTGGATTGTGTTTTTTAAAAAGTGAGAGAAGCCGGGTGCAGGGGCACATGACTGTAATCCCAGTGGCTCCAGCTCCTCCAGAAGCTGAGGCAGGAGGATTACGAGTTCAAAGCCAGCCTCAGCAATTTAGCGAGGTCCTTAGCAACTTAGCTAGATCCTGTCTCTAAATAAAATATAAAAAAAGGACCGGGGATGTGGCTCATTGGTTAAGCACCCTTGGGTTCAATTCCCAGTACCAAAATAAATAAATAAATAAAAGTTTTAAGAAGGCAAGAGAAAATATAAGCGTTATATTATAGTCAATTGAAACTCATCTTCGCAAAAATTTGTTAAACTGTTTTCTTCATGAAATAATTAAATTTGTGATGTTGCTGAAAATACTACAAAATGTTTAGAGAGATATTTCTCACTGAGAAGAAAGTCCCTGTGAATATTTTTATTGTTATTAGTGTCATGATGGTTCTCTGGAATCTACTAATCCCATATGACCTGGTTATACAAATATGCCT